GAGAGAGAGAGAGAGAGAGAGAGAGAGAGAGAGAGAGAGAGAGAGCACTGACAGTGCTGCCAGTCCAAAGACTCTGACGTTCTGAATTGAACTGCAAAGTTCAAACTTTTAAGTTAAAAAGTTCAAACTTCAAACATAATCATACTTTTTTCAATTTCTACTTCTCTGTTTCTTTAGTCTTGTACCTGCTTTGCACTGTTTGCAACACTGCATGTGTGCTAGTTGAATGTGCTTGTTGATTTGCTGCAAGACAGGTGCTCTGCTGCCCGAACTACAAAGTGGAGAGCAGGTAAGTGCCTGCCAACAGCCCCCTCCCCTCTCCCGTTTTTTTTTTTTTTTTTTGTCCGGACATTTGTACCCCCTGACACCAGTCCGGACTGTCCGGGTCCAGTGATGTCCAGGTGTCCGGTGATGTCCGGATCACCGGACAGTCTGGACCGGTCCAGACACTGGTCCGGAAGACAGTCCGGGAGTGTCCGGTGTCCGGGTCCGCCGTTACCATGGATGATTCACAGCGGTAGCCAAGGCACATCCCACATCAAGCATTGAATTTAATTGAACCACTACTACCTTTCCCAGCCAAAGTCGACAATAAAAAACGCGACAATCTGAAAAGTTTGGGGGTTCAGGGCAGGGTCGGCCTTGGGGGAGGGCGCAAATAAAATTCAGTCCCCCAGTGTCGCAGTGGGCCCAGGCAGTGAACGTTTTTCCTTCCACTGCCTCCAGGACACAGACCACCAAATGTACGGAGGCCCGAAAACGCTTTTCTTCAGTTGTATGGATGCACTGTACAAGTACGGCCTGAAGCCAAGGTGGAACGGGCGGACTCCACCAGAAGCTGGCTCGTATTGGCATGGATGCCACAATGCATCCAGGTCGGCAAGTTGTTGACTTGCGCATGTCAGCCCACTGACCAGCAAACCAGGCATCGAGAGTGCAAACAACAAGTAAAAGAAGATGTGGACCACAAGGGGGTCGAGCCTCCTCCCAGAAGGAGAGGGAATGGAAACTTTAAGGAACATGAAAGGACGAGCAAATGGGAATGGTTGAAGGGCTCTTGGAAAAAGCTATGGAATGAGAGTCAATTCAAAGTCTGGAAGCAGAGGAAAATTCCCCAAGGCCGAGAAGATGGAGGACAATAGCACACCGAAAGGATCAAGACAGTCATGCACGTTGAAGCTTTGCTAGCACACTCCCATACCAAAATGCATTACAACTGTAATACAACATCCATTCTCCACTCAAGGTGCATTCCTTCTCTCAACACACCATCATGCATTCCCGTGCCACTCCACTTCCACAAAAGCCATGCGAGCAATGCACATAATTGTTACAAGGTGACACTTATTTCTTCCAATGCATACTTCTTATGTTCCTCCTCAAGACACAATCTAGGACTCTGACTTTTCTTTTCACCAAGGATCGATGTAGACATTGTAGAGGTGATACACAACACACTCAAGCAACGCATTCCTCAAGCTTACCCCATTCCCAACCCCCACTCAGCTGCATCCACATGCCAAGAACACAATCAATGAAGGAAAAGAGGGGTCAATGCATGCCCAAGCGCTACATGAATTCCCCCACCCTCAGCCCTCAAGCATTCACACACACCAAGCATTCCAAATCCATACAAGGCTAGGGATGTTCGGAGTACAACTGAGTTCCAATGGTAGTAAAGATACTTTTCTTTATTCTCCACCAACTGCCCAAGGCAATCGCCTTCTCAATTCCTTTCATCTTCATCAAAGTGGGCTATGGACGTGGCAAGTTTTTCTCGCTTCCTCCTTCCACACAAAGGACGATAAAGAGGTGTCAATGCTCCTCCTCCTTCCATCTTCCACACCAAGGTGGTTATGGAGACAAAATGGTGCTTCTCCTTTCACCTTCCTTGCTAACCTGGCTATGGAGGTCCAATGGTTCTCTTCCTTCCACCTTCCTCACAAGGTGGCTATGGAGGACGAAGAGGATGGGGATGAAGAGGATGGGGATGAAAGAAGCAGCAGTAGAGGACGAAGAGGATGGGGATGAAAGAAGCAGCAGTAGAGGACGAGGAAGTAGTGAGGTCCCTCAATCCTTGTCTCCTCAAAGGTAGGGTCTCGATCTGTCACAAGTCCCAAGTTAGAAGAAGAAGAAGAAGAAGAAGAAGAAGTGTTGCCATGGGGACAACATAATTCTAAAATATTAATATTTTATTTGTTATTGTATAAAAACATATCAATATCTGTGAGGCACAAGGCCTCGATAAGCCCTACTGGGCCCCTATTTGCAACAGCGTCGTCCGCCCTAAGTGAAGGCAGGCTTGACAGACGACAGGAGGCCTATTTCGGACTACTTCGCAACTGGGGGAAAATTCAGGCAGTTGCGCAGCGCCAGTTGGTTGAAAGCGCCCAGGCCCTGGTCTCCTTTTATCAAATGTATCTGAGTCAGGCCCTGGGCGAGATACGCAGCATAGGCCCAACTCAGGCTGTGGGCAGTTGGGCACGGGTAACCGTCGGTGGCCCTGGGCCTGATTCGTTTGGTCTGAGGCTCAGCCTCCCTGGGCCTACCGAAAGCTTCTGGGCAGGGGCCCAGCGCAGCCACGCTGCAAGCACGCAGGCTGGCCACTTCCATATAGGAAAGGGCCAGCCCACACATGGGGCATTCGGGCATTGGCTGCTTTGTGTGCAAGCGCTGCTGCGTTATTGCGAGCCAGGCTCACGTGCTCACGGGCGAGCTGGAAGGAGCAGGCAGCCATAGCCGAGCTGCACTGCTGTATGCTGGATGGGGCGCATGGTGGTCCTTGGGCGCATGAGGCATCTGTGAGTTGGGGAACGAGGTTGTGAGTGATGCGAGAGACATACCTGGTGCTTGAAGCGTACGGCATTGGCCAATATGTGCTCGTACTTCGGGGAGCTGTTGACGTCATCAGCGGCATTGTAGTCTAGGCTAGATAGGATCTGCCATTTGTAGTTTGGGCGCCGAGCGCCAGATAGGATATCGACATTGGTTCTTCGTTGATGATGATGGGACTGTTCCAGCATTGTCAATTATGAGCTCTTGCTGTGTTCTTATTTGGTGGAACTCGTGATGCAATTCTGCTATTGGTTCGAGGTCACGACTTTCTGGTCTCATGTGTATGATGCTGTTTGATTTCTTAGATTTGCTATCACTCATCTTCCTTGCATATTCATATTTTTAATGAAAAAGAATGCTTTAAAAGAAAGTCAATTTGGATATAAAAGAAAAAATCATAGAAGAAGAAGAAGAAGAAGAAGAAGAAGAAGAAGAAGAAGAAGAAGAAGTGTTACCATGGGGATAAAATATCCATGTTTTTAATTCTTCTTCTTCTTCTTCTTCTTCTTTCCCTTTCTTCAAAAGGTATCTTTCCAAGGCGGAACTTATTGGGTAATTTGATTTGATGAGATTGGGGTATCTGCGAAGGCTTATTTAGACCAAACCTACAAACGAGAGGCTAGAACTTTTTTTTTTTATCCGAGTCCAGGCGCTTGTAGCATTTGAGAGCGATGGTGCGGAGCGGCGGTATGGGTATGACCGGCCACTTTCCGTGTTTGGCAAGGCTACAATAACGTACATCCATAAAAAATATTTATTCTAAATCTATTCCATACTTGTGGAGCATCGAGGTGCGCGGCGTCCCGCACGTGCGCCGCACCGCGCACCGCACACCGCTCGCGGGTGTAGGCCCGAGTGGGGTGTCGCGTCAACAAACAAAAAAAAAGAAAAACACAAATTTGAGGCCGCGCGGGGCCCCGGAAAAAAAAAAGGGGGGGGAGCTGAAGTTGGTTCATTTTTTGAAGTTTCGAATCTCGAGTGCTGCCCATCGCTGCGTAGATGAAGCCCGGTAGTCCACCTTTGTGCCCTTCGCGCCCGCGGTGCGTTGCCCGTTGCCTCCACGTCTCCTGTGCAGCAGCAGCAGTCGAAGGTGACGGCGTCCAGCCATAGCCAGGGCACTGCAGTCTTCGTGAAGGAGCTGAAGAAGCACCCGGAGGAGCGTGGCTTCAGGTCGCAAAGTTGCGAGGTGGGTAGCCAGTAGCCCCTCTCTCTCTCCCCTCCTTCCTCCCTCTCTCTCTCTCTCTCTCTCTCTCTCTCTCTCTCTCTCTCTCTCTCTCTCTCTCTCTCTCTCTCTCTCTCTCTACTTCTTCCGGCGCTTAGCACCATCCCGCCTCCGGCATTTCTCCCGCCATCTCCCACCTTCGGCATTTCTCCCAGCATCCCGCCT